CCTCCCAGGTACAAAAGCTGCTTGACTGTTGTCTACCAGAAAGTCCATTACACTTTGCATTCATTTTGTAAGCACTTTAGATATTAGCTTGTATTTATTGATTTAGAGAAAGCATACGACAAGGTTCCTAGAGAAGTTCTCTGAAGATGCTTAGAGGCAAAAGGCGTGCCGGCTGCCTATATTTGGGCAATTAAGGACATGTATGATAGGGCTAAGACTCGGGTTAGGACTATAGGAGGCGACTCTAAGCAGTTTCCAGTTGTTATGGGGTTACACCAAGGTTCTGCGCTCAGCCCGCTCTTATTTTCCCTGGTGATGGATGTGTTAACACACCATATTCAAGGGGAGGTGCCATGGTGTATGTTATTCGCCGATGACATAGTTCTAATTGATGAGTTGTGATCCAGTATTAACGAGAGGTTAGAGGTCTGGAGACAGACCCTTGAGTCTAAGGGTTTTAAGCTGAGTAGGACGAAGACAGAATACCTGTAGTGTAAGTTCAGCACTGAGCCGAGGGAAGTGGGCGTGGAAGTGAGGCTTGAATCACAGGTCATACCAAGTAGTGGCAAATTCAAGTACCTTGGGTTGGTTATCCAGATGGAATGGGAGATTGACGAGGATGTCACACACCGTATTGGAGTGGGGTAGATGAATTGGAGGTAGCATATGGAGTCTTGTGTGATAAGAGAGTGCCACCGATACTCAAAGGTAAGTTTTACAAAGCGGTAGTTAGACCGTCCATGATGTATGGAGTTGAGTGTTGGCCTGTTAAGAACTCACATATCCAGAAGATGAAAGTAGCAGAAATGAGGATGTTGAGATGGATGTGCGGACACACTAGGATGAATAAGATTAGGAATGAAGATACTCGGGAGAAGGTGGGCGTGGCTCCCATTGATGACAAGATACGGGAAGCGCGACTCAGATGGTTCAGACACATACACAGGAGAAGACTAGATGCCCCGGTAAGGAGGTGTGAGCGGCTGGCGTTGGAGGGCACGAGAAGAGGTAGAGGACGACCTAAGAAGTATTAGGGAGAGGTGATCAGGCAGGACATGGCGAGGCTTCATTTTTCCGAGGACATGGCTATTGATAGAAAGTTGTGGAGGTCGAGTATTTGAGTTGTAGGTTAGGAGGTACATTGTTGAGTCTCCCTTACTTCGTACCTTTGTGAGGCTAGTCTGGTAGGGTTTTTATCGATATCAACTAGTGGCAAGGTTGTGTCTTACTACTCTTTTTTTTTTCATAGTGTCGGGTCTATGTATTGTCTATCACGTTTTCTTTGCAACTAATTTCTCATTTTCATGATGTTATTTTTCCTATAGTTTCTATTGGTGATACTGATATTGTCTCTTTTCGTCTTTTTGAGTTGAGGGTCTTTCGGAAACAGCCTCTCTACTCCCTCGGGGTAGGGGTAAGGTCTGCGTGCACACTACCCTCCCTAGACCCCACTAGTGGGATTTCACTAGGTCGTTATTGTTTTAGATATTAGCTTGTAGATCATTGTGTAACATAATATTGGTATAAATTCTTTAATAGATGATGGATTTTGTACCTTGGGGATGAGTGTGATAGTGGTACAGTTATAGTTTTGTAGAACTCCTTTTTATTAAAGAACTGGAAAATTGCCTCTGAAACCTCCTTCCCTATGATTGGCCAGGACTTTTTAAAAAAGACAGCATTGAACCCATCACAACCAGAGGCCTTCAGATCATCAATATCATTTAGAGCTTGTTGAATTTCCTCCACTGTAACTGTTGTAGTAAGATGAATCTGTTGAGGTCGATTAAGGATAGGGCCTCCTGCCATAACTTGTGGGTGTATTGCAGGAAGCTTATTAGCATTTGTCCCTAACAACTTCATATATAACCCACTGATTTCTTTTTCAATTGCCTATGTTGTTGGGAGTACTTCACCACTTTCAAAAATGAGTCTGCTAATGTGATTCTGCGCAATTCTACTCTTAATATTAGCAAAGAAATAAGCAGAGTTAATATCTCCTAGCTTTAACCATTGTATTCTGGACTTCTGCGTGAGTATACTCTCTCCAATTAACACCCATTTTTCTTTAACATTTACACTGCATACATAAGTTAAGGACGTCATGTACTTAACATTCACACTGCACATATGAAGTTAAGGACATGATGTCCTAAAGTTTAACAACGGAAGGTGCAAATACATGATATTTTTTTCTTAATATTTACACAACATTCATGAAGTTAAGGACATGATGTCCTAAAGTTTAACAACGGAAGGTGCAAATACATGATATTTTTTTCTTAATATTTACACAACATTCATGAAGTTAAGGACAACATGTCCTTAATATTTACACAACACTCATAAAGTTAAGGAGATTATGTCCTTAACATTTATACTGCACATATGAAATTAGAGACACCATGTACTTAACATTCACACTGCACATATGAAGTTAAGGACAACATGTCCTTAATATTTACACAACACTCATAAAGTTAAGGAGATTATGTCCTTAACATTTATACTGCACATATGAAATTAGAGACACCATGTACTTAACATTTACACTGCACATATGAAGTTAAGGATATGAGGTCCTAAAGTTTAACAATAAAAGGTGCAAATACAAATTAAGGACATTATGTTCTTAACATTTACACTGCATACTTGAAGTTATTGATACCATGTCCTTAACATTTATACTGCACGTATGAAGTTAAGGACATGATGTCCTAATGTTTAACAACGGAAGGTGCAAATACATGATACTTTGTCCTTAATATTTACACAACATTCATGAAGTTAAGGACACCATGTCCTTAATATTTACACAACACTCATAAAGTTAAGGAGATTATGTCCTTAATATTTACACTGTACACATGAAGTTAGGGACACCATGTCCTTAACATTTATACTGCACATATGAAGTTAAGGATATGAGGTCCTAAAGTTTAACAACAGAAGGTGCAAATACAAATGTTCTTAACATTTACACTGCACATATGAATTTAATGACGCAATGTCCTTAATATTTACACTGCACATATGAAGTTAAGGACATGATGTCCTAAAGTTTAACAGCGAAAGGTGCAAATACATGACACTTTGTCCTTAATATTTACATAGCATTCATGAAGTTAAGGACACCATGTCCTTAATATTTACACATCACCCATGTCTAGCACATGGGTATTTTCGTCCGGTCAGGTAAAAGCTTATTAAGCACCGGCTAAAAAGTAAATATATTTTAAACAGTGGCTAAAGAGTAAAAAATCTCTAATTAGTGGCTAATTTGCATTTCTCCCTCATTTCTACTGCGGGAGGTGGGTAATTATTGGGCTAAGCTAAAACTTTAGTAAGCCCGGAGAAGCAAGTGTAAGTCCAGTTACATTGTCAAATTCTTACTACTGAAATTAATGTTCTATTTAATGAATTATTAATAATTAAGATGCCATTTAACGCGTAAAATGGTTAAGAAGATAAAGTACAAGATCATGCTAATTGAAGGAATAGATTAGAAAATTAAATTTTGTTCTCGTGGACTTGTTTTGCTAATATTTTTTTTGCCCATGAGCGTGGATGGTTAACTATTTTTTTTAAAAAAGAAATAGCATCTAATATTTTATGTTAATTGAGTTACATTATGCATTTCATAAAACTTAACTGTTATGATTTTAGCCAATTTAGCATAGGCAGTTGATATAAGAGATTTCCTAGTTAAATTGATAGTTCATAAAGTTGGAGCAGTTCAAGTAAGGAAAACATTTACCTGAATCAGATGCGTGGATCAAAAACTAACTTATCACAATCTTTATTTGAATATACCTTAATTAATAGTTAAATTATAAATGTCATAAAATACATACGAATATTTTATTTTTCATTGTAGTAATCCAAAACTTTCACATTCCCAAACGGCGAAGAGGATAGAAGACAAAGAAAGCAGTACACTCGGAGGATTCTAAAGGTATATCCTCTTTGTTCTATATAGGACACGTCTTTTTGTGTGTGTTTACACACGTTTCAATAGTGGTCCTTGTATTAAAAGCGTTATTATTAAACTCTCTAGTTTTTTATCTTGAAAATTCCCTAAGCAAGAATTAAGGCCATTGCATAACTATGTTGTAATAGATCTTTGGTTAATAGCTTTTTGACCAAAGTTTTTTCGATGCTAAAAATATTTTTCCTCATAAGAAAGTGTTTTTTTTTTAATTTTTAAAGTTGAGGTATTTGACCAAGCTTGTAGGAAGAAAAAAGTATATTTGAGTAGAAACAGAAGCAATATTTGAGAAACAGAAAAAAAAAAAACTTATTTTCGAAAATACTTTTTTGAAAACACTTTTGAGAAAATACACTTAGAAGTAGTTTTTTAAAATTTTGGCCAAACACTAATTACTGCTCAAAAGCTTTTCAAATTGATTATTCCAACACAAACTACTTTTTATCAAAATTATTTTGTTTAAAGTTTTTTTTAAAACAAACTGATTTTAGAACCTTGGTTAAATAGGCTATAAGATTCTTCCTAAATTTGAAACAATAGATAAACATTAGTTAATCATAAAAGTTAGATTTGGTTTGGGGGGGTGGAGGAATCAGCAAAGTTCTTTTTGAAGGCAAAAATCATCAAAGTTAGATAACACATGAGGCTACGCTAAAATTTCATTTAAAAATTAAATAATAAATCACAAAAGAACTCTTGCATAGCTTGCATTTAGACGTGTAAATTTTTGTATTATTTGAAATTACCTCCAACTCCCAAGGTTACTTTGATTTGAGAATGGATAATTAGATATCAAAACCTTAGAAATAAAAAAAAAACTTAATTGACAAAAATTCGTATTAATTGGGATACCTCGTGAAAATAATTAAAAAAAGAGGAAATAATGTCCAATTTAATTAAGCTTTTTTGCTTTTTCTTTGAAGCCCACGTCTACTACGTGAGAGCACTTACACAGGAATATTTCCCAACAGTGCCGTGAAAACTAAAATAAAACAATTTTGGATAATGATTATTTAAACATAGTATAGAGTCCTAAAACAAAGCAAAAGCAAAGTCATCATTTACTCAACCTTCATTGTTTATCTTTTTTCTCTCAATTGACGATCATTCTTTTACAAAAAGGTTAGTTCTTTACTCCTTCTGATCGTTATTATACTTTTCGTTTTCTGAATTTTGATGTTTATTTTGCTATTAGTAGTTCAAGATTCTCGCTTTATCAAATTGGGTTATATTTGTTTTATTTTCTGATAGTTTTTTGCTGAATATTTTCTTGATGAGGTTGTTTTAGAAGCAGTAGAATTAAAGTTACTTTGGTTTTGTATCAGTTTAGGTCAAAAGATGATTACTTTAAAGTAATAGCTGTTTGTTTTGTAAAAACATTGGGTTATTTGGTAGTGGATAATATGTTAATTAAGGCAATAATTTTGCTTCTTTTATTGTTTTGATTCAGGAAAATGGTTAAGAGCTCATTCAAGCAGGAGCATGATCTTGGTTCGTTTTCGGTTTTTATTTTTGTAAATTTTGCTGTGTTATGTTCTTTTGTTGTGAAAAAGAATTGTGGGTGTTAGTTTTTTTTTTTTTGACGCTGTTGTTTTGAATGTTCAGAGAAGAGGCGCGCCGAGGCTGCTAGGATTAGGGAAAAATACTCAGATAGGATTCCGGTGAGAATTGAGTCTTATGTTGCTGTATTATTTTTCTGTGGTAGCTGCTTGTTTCAATGTGAATATAGTAATGTGACTTTATAATTTCATGGACATCATCACATAACTTTTAGTACTCTTTATTTATTTTATTTTGTGTAATATTGATCTGGGAAGAAGTAGATGAGATTGAGATGCGCAGTGAGGATTCATATAGCCGATTCGTACTTGCTTGGGACTGAGGCGTAATTGTTGTTGTAGTTGCTTTTCGAGTCATTGACATGGCTAAATGCTAAGTTGTCTAGTGTTAAGAATGCATGATAGAGATTATTCTTTAAAACAAATTTGCAAGTTATATAGTGGAGTTCTCGAAATTCATCACTTTCTTCTTGCCTCTCATGAGCAGTTCTCTGTTATTTAATGTTTCCAAACAATAGTGACTTATACAATGGAGAAAGGATTGTATGATGTGATTAATATTGACATTTCCTTGTTTCACTGCCAAACCAAAATTGCCATAGAACTGCACGTTCTATATCTAGAGACAGAGAACTACAATCTCATTAGATAAGAAAGCACGATTGGTGTACTTGTGCGGTGATAGGGAAGAGTATGAGAAAGTTCTTGAAGAATATGGGAGTGTTTCCGTTTTATTGGCAATGTATGTTCCCATATGAATTTGAGGCTTGAATGCACAATAAAAAAGGATAATACACCCTGAAATTATTGAAGGCACTGAGACATAGCCTTTGAGTTTGATAAAAAACAATAGAGGTAACACATTCTTGTAAAAATGTCTCCTTGGTACCTACATCAGTCTTGTTTTTGCTAGACTTCTTGTTCCAGAACACTCCACTATCACTGGCGTTTTCATTCTTGTCAAGTCGACAACTAAGAATTTTAGTTTGCTTTTCTTATACCAAAGTCCAACCTCTGTCTCTCAGAGTTGTAACTAAAAGACCTAAGAGGCTTTCTTGTGTACTGAAACGGATATGAAATGTTTTAGAGGTGAATTTGGTAAAGGTATCTTCCTGGAGATGAGTAGTTGGATGTGTTTTTCAACGATTTGAAGGAAGAACAAATGATACTAGGTACAGTTGACCGTTCAGCAAGACCTGAACTTAAATAAGAGATGAAAGAATCGCAAAAGTCGAACTGTTGAAGTAGTATGTTTGTGTAGTAAAAGTTTTAATGTCAAAAGTATGTAGATTTGACCTGACATGGACTATTATGCGGTTTAAATATTGATGAACAACCTTGAAACTAAGTCACATCCAAAGTTAATAGAGCAAGACTGTCAATCACTTGCTGACACCTAAGAGAATGGTGTAGATTCTGATCAGTGTAGATTGTCATGTGTAAAATTACATATTAATGTTTTCTGGTGGATCAAAGAACACCACCAACAACTGGAACTACGCCTTTATCCCAAGCAAGTTGCGATCGGATATGTGAATCCTCATTGGACAGTAGTTTGTTCACTGCAGAATACCTTATTATTCCATAGTTGACAATTGTCTCAAATCAAACTGGACATCAGGCCAAGGAGGGTAGCGTCTAATTGTAACTCAAGAATTGCTGCTTATTAGTTGTTTGATTTGGTATTATGTGCTGACTATATGATTATCATAGTTGAGACTTGTTTGAACTCAAACTGGACATGTATTCAACGACAGTGGTGTCCAATTGGAACGCAAGAGTTACTGCTTAGTATTTGTTTTGTTTGGTATATTTTCCAATCATCCAGAATTTTGCAATGCTTCTTTTTCACATTATTTATGTAATATGCAGGTGATAGTTGAAAAGGCTGAAAAAAGTGATATTCCCAACATCGACAAGAAAAAGTAAGCACCGATCAAGCTGCAAGTAAACCTTTCCTTGTTACTTACATCTATGCTAGGTTTTGCTACGACGAAGGGAGAAAACTCTTACCTCTGGAAAATGTTTATCCTTTATTCCTTTATGTCTTGTGTCCCTTTTTAGTTGTTTTCTTCCCTCCAGATTGGCAATTAACCTTTTCCATAACTCGATCATCCTTCCAGCTGCCTTATTCCAAACATCTACTTTTGCTATCTGAATTTAGGTGATAATTGGTGGCATTCATGTTATATGTTGAGATGAATATTGTCATCTCTTGTAGGCTGAAAAAAAATAATATCGTCATCTCTTGTATGTTGAAAACGAATTTACGAATTTACAAACATCTACTACTAACTTGATTAACCCTTTTTTCTTCTCTTGTAAATCTGTTCTTCTTAGGGGTGGGCATAAAATCCGAAAAACCGAAAAACCGGACCGGACCGAATTAATTCGGTTCTTCGGTATAAGTTTTTCAAAAGTTCGGTATTTCGGTACGGTTCTCGGTATTGAACTTTCAATACTTCGGTATATACCGAAATACCGAAATACCAAATTATTTAAGTAAGCCTTCCTACTGCCCAGCCCAAGTTATCACTTCTCAGCCCAATTCGAACTTGTTACTCCTAGCAAGTAGACCGGTAAGATTTAGCCCAACCTAACATAGGACCCTAGGTTTCAGAATTCCCTTTAGTCCAGCTATGCATCAGGTGGATCAACTTAGTAAACACATATTAAAGCTTATGATATGTATTTGTTTTTTCTTGTTTGGTTACTAGTTAATCTTTCCTTATGCGGTTATTCATCATTTTGTAGTTACTTATCGTGTAATTTTTGTTTTTGTGGAATTTTTCATACTTGCAAAGGATCACTGCACAACAATTTGACCAAGACATAGTAAAACTATGTATCTCGTTTAGGCCCTCTATGTAACATTTTAATTTCCCTTTATCGGATGTGGGGACACAAAAACTATTAGCTAGAAAATAAGAATCCAAAATTATGCAATAAAAACAGTTTTGCTAGAATTATTAGCTAGAAATCCAGAATTACCTTATGAACAGTTTTGCCGAAAATTAGATCAGTTTAGTTTGGTTGGCTACCGAACCGTACCGAAACCGTACCGAACCAAACAAGAAATATCAAACCGTACTGAACTATTTTGGTACGGTATTTGGTATGCACAATTAAAATACCGAATACCGAAATACCGAATTGTAGTTCTTAAAAACCGCACCGAAGTACCGAACGTCACCCCTAATAATTTCCTGCCAGCATGACACCACGATAACCTTCAGGGGTGGAGCTAGAAGCCCAGCTACGGGTTTGGCCTAACCCAATAGCTTATGCTCAGACATTATATTCGTATTAAGAAATTCATTAAGTATGTACAAGTATTTAATTTAGAACCCATTTATAAGCACTTGAAGTTGTCGTTCTAAAATTTGAAACCATGACCGTCTCGGATAACTTTTACCACCATTAGCCTGGTGTTGAAGTAGCTTTGTTCGATTTCCATTTTCCAGTGGTTCAGATCTCCAGTAGCTTTGTTTTCATCATCTCATCATTGCTGTTGACACAACTATCTTTATTACCAAAGGAACAGATACTCTGTTAAGATCTGGTTTTTGAACTCCAGCAAAAACTTCATTCATGTTCTCTAATTCGCAAAACTACAGGTATCTCGTGCCAGCTGACTTGACAGTTGGGCAATTTGTCTATGTCATTCGCAAGAGAATCAAATTGAGTGCAGAAAAGGCAATATTCATATTTATTGACAATGTCCTACCGCCAACAGGTATTTCCTACTCACTAATATCTGGCTTTTAGAAGTTGCCATAGCAACTGGGAATAATAGTCTCTTCTACAATGAAGTGAGCAAACTGTTTGGTTTTGCAGGGGCAATCATGTCTGCAATCTATGACGAGAAGAAGGATGAAGATGGTTTCCTTTATGTTACTTACAGTGGAGAAAACACATTCGGGGACCTGAACGAGCTGTAGCTTTCACGCTAGTAACGTTCGTTGATTTGCTTACAGTTCCCTTGTTTATTGTCCTGTGTCACTTCTCTATCCTGCTAATATCCTCTTTCGCTTCTTTGATCTTATCAAAGGTTTTATTGGAAATAATTATGTATAGCATATACTTGCGTATAGTTCAGAAAAACAAATGTCGCAATCTTCTGGCATATGATGTTAATAATCAGTTGAATTCAATCACTTTAATGACTGTGTTAGTGTCCAATTCAGTTACTGCATAAGGGACGACTCAAAGTCCCTAAATCATTCTTGATTCACTTTCTTATTTCAATATTCTGCAAGTATTTGTAGTTACTATTGCCATAAGGGAGAAAGAGAAGGGGAAAAGGGCTCATTGTTTAGCTTCTTTTGCAGCAGCAAATGTATATTCACATCCAGAAGTTTTCAGTACATACTAGGAGGATATTTCCTGAGCGCATGTTTATCGTATCGCTAAAGTATGCAGTTGTTTACCCTTAAAATCGGATAACAATTAAATTTGTAAGTGGTTTTAAGGATAGGTGGACTAATTTGACACAAAACGATAAATTATATTGCAATTGAAATAAATAATGATAAAGTAAATGCAAAACACACGAATTAAACAGTTTTAGCTTTGGAAGGTTAAAAGTTAATCACCCTCGAGCCAGGTACGTTTCGATCGGTGTCAGGACACAGAAGAATAAGCGCTTAAAGAGAGATAATAATAATATATTGCTTTGGAATGCGTGCTCCCATATGTCCAATGAATTATAAGATCCCCTTTATATAATATAGGAGTCCTGCTTTAGGTACAATTCTATAAAAGTTAAAAAATCTCTTGATTTGCTGATTGCCGGTTCCTTACTGATACGCGCCGAGATTTCTGCCGCAACATCTGCCCGATTACGGATATTTCGGTTTTCCGTTGGTTATGCCAACAATGTTTCTCCGAGCTCGTTCGGGGCTAGGGTCGACTCCGGGGTCTCTGACTCAATGTTCTCGAAGGCAGGTGTTGCATCGTCATGTTTCGAGCTTGTTCTTTCATGTCGTAAGCGAACTCGATCTTGACCGTATACAGCCATAATATTTAACTTTAGCGAGAGTGATGAAAAACAGTCCTATGTGAAAAAGTACTGTGTCTAGAAGTGTGATATCATAGAGCTTGGGGAGATTGCGAAATATATAGAGTTTTAAGGACAAAAAGGTCGAAGATGTTGACTCAAGGGGAGTGAATTTGTCAAAAGAAGCATCATTGGCCTACTATATATTTTGTGGCTTCAGTAAAGCTAGAATATCTAATTCCCTGGCAAAGGAAGATGAACCTCTGAATATCATGTAAACGCAAGTTTTTTGCTGTGAAGGTCACGTCCACATCCTTTGTGTTGCAAAACAGATATATTTGTTTTTGTCTGGTTAGTAGGAAATTTCTTGCCTGCTAAGAGATTAGTCCAAGTTAGATCGAGAAGCAAGAGTTAGTAATTGAAGTTGGGGGTGGCAAACTTCTCATGTAGAGGATGAAATAACACAGAAAAGGGCTACACGAATAATACAATAAGGGTTCGTTTGGTATGGGGTATAAGAATAGTGCTGAATATGGTGTATTAGTAATGCTGATATTAGTAATGATGAGATTAGTTATACTGGGGTTATTTCTTATCCACTGTTTGGTTTGATATATTAAAACATTGCATAATTTTTTTAAAAATAATTAGTTGTTTACAAAAATACCCTCCACATTCTTTAATTTTGTACACTTTGAGGGATTTGAGGGGTAATTATATCTTTAACCATGCTTATGCAAGTATTAAAAATTCTTGCATTGCTAATACCATGGTCCGCTATGTATTAGTTATACATAGGATAATATCAAATATGATGTATAACTAATGCAAATATTAGTAATATTTATGTTGAAAAAGTATACCAAACAAGGGATTAATAATGCACAAAGCTAATACTTGCATTATTTTTTTCTAATACCTCCTACCAAACAGACCCTAAGTAGTTTGTGAGGCTAATTTTGAGCTAGATAGTGGATTGATGTGGAATGTAGGACTATTTGATCGTGAAGGTTAAGTTAGTGTACCATGAACTCCATCCGACACATTTTGGATGTTGTGGCATTAATTATCTAGCTATATTCTATTACTGGTTGACACCGTTTTGGAAAACTTTATTCCCGATTAATGCTTGTTAAATTCCTTTAGGTTCTCTATTGTAAGTGTTTTTATGTAAAGCAAATCAAACTGGATTTGTCAAATGTAGGCTTATTACTGAGAACATTCTTCTCACTCAAGAAATTATTCATGGAATCAGGAAGGAGAATGGATGAGGGAATATTATCATAAAACTTGATATGTCCAAAGCCTACGACAAGTTATCTTGGGCCTTTCTCACGACGACTCTAAGAAAGATGGGCTTCTCAGAGAAGACAACAGACTTGATTCATAATCTAGTTGGTAATAATTGGTATTCCATCATCATCAATGGTACAAGACATGGTTTCTTTAAATTTTCCAGAGGTTTAAAGCATGGGGACCCACTATCTCCAGCTCTATTCATCCCAGCAGCTGAAGCTCTGTCTAGAGCCCTTAATTACCTACACAACAAAGAAAGTTTCGTTGGCTTCAAAATGAACCCAAGGGAGCCACAAGTTAACCATCTAAGTTATGCCGACGATCTAGTTCTATTTACTTCCGGGGATAAGAAATTAGTAAAGATGGTTATGAATGTGCTACAAAGATATCAAGCTCAGGTCAAGAGATCAATAGAGAGAAGAGCTTTTTCCTAACTAAAGAACACTCTGATCCACTCACCAACAGACGAATCAGGAAGTGGACAGGGTACATGCATGCAAAATTTTCCTTCACCTACCTAGGTTGCCCTATATACATAGGTAGGAAGAAGATATCAATGTTCACAGATTTAGCCACTAAAATCCTAAACAAAGCCGGTGGATGGCAAAGCAGATTCCTGTCATCAAGCGGGAAAACAATAATTATTAAGCATATTTTACAATCACAAACTCTACACTTGTTTGCAACCTTGACACCTCCCAAGACACTGATCAATAAGGTGGAGATGTATTTCTCCAATTTTTTCTGGGGCAAGAAAGAAGGAAAAAATAGCTATCATTGGTGCTCTTGGAAAAATATGTGCCTTCCGTGTGAAGAGGGTGGAATGGGTTTTAAAAGCCTAAAAGATATATGTCATGTATTTTCAGCAAAAAGATGGCGGAGATTGAGAAACGAAGACAATTTATGGAGTAAATTTATGCTCCATAAGTATTGTCCTAGATCCAATGCCCTGTCGAAAATTGGAGTCCCCATGGACTCAAATTACTGGAGAGAGCTAATGCACATCAGAGATAAGGTAGAGCCAAATATTTTTTGGAAGGTCAGTGAAGGAAATCTGCATTTCTGGTGGGATATTTTGACCCCAATTGGCCCTATTGCCAATTTTTATTACGGAAATGGCAAACCTCTGAACACGAAAGTCAGTAACTTCGTAGAGGTAAACACATGGAACATTGAGGCTTTGCAGGAGGTTGTGCCAAATCACGTGGTTCAAAAATTACTCAAAGTGCACATTGGCAACAGATTGATCAAAGATCAAGGCATCTGGAGTTTAACAACAAACGGCAACTTCTCCTGCTCGTCAGCTTTCCAGTACTTGAGAAGGAGGAACGCAACATCTTCTGACTTGGCCAATGTATGGGTAAAGTAGGTTCCTTTCAAGATGTCGTTAATTGCATGGAGAATGATTAAGAAAAGACTGCCGCTTGATGACATAATTCAAAGGTTCAAACTAAATATTGTGTCTAGGTGCACATGTTGCAGGGATCCAACAACAGAAACATTGGAGCTTCTATTTGCTAGAGGTGAAACAACACGCATAATATGGGATAAGTTTTCTAGTCCACAGGGTATCATCACAGATTATAGGATCATTGCTCACATTTTAAACCAGTGGTGGAGTATGAAGCCCAACAATGTTGTCCATAAGTTTATTTAGTACAATCGCCGATTATTATCTGTTGGGAGTTATGAAAAGCTAGGTGTGGAAAGAAATATGGATAGAGGAACACTTCTGTAGCAAGAATCCGCCATCAAGTTCTATGGGAGGTTAAAGTTGCAATAGGAAGGAAATTCACTAAACTGGAGAATAATTGGGATTGGAAAAAAGTTTGTATCACGCCCCAAACTAGGAGAGGCACGACTCGCATTCGATACTGTATTCGATCGAGTTAGCCACTAAACATACTAGCTAACTATACTGGGGGCCCAACAGATCGGGCAGTACAATATCTGAAATACTAAACCTGGACCGTAAGGTTATGACATGAATAACAATAAGCCATATAAACATAGGTAGACAAGCCAAAATAATAAAATACTAGCTGGCCGACGAGGCCGCGACTGAAGACATACATGCCTACACACCTATATATACATGCCAAGTCTATGGGCTGGAGACTGAAAGCAGCAAAAAGAAACCCAGAATATTGTGTCCACAATAGCCTCTAAGAATGTCATAAGCACTGT